AGATTGTAGTTAGTTAATTTAAAAAAAGTTAGGTCAAATACAATTTGTATCGATTGCTGGGAAGTTGCTACATGTTTCACCTGTCAGCTTTATGTCATAACAAATCGCAGAGATTCCTTTAATGGGAAGGATGTGATTTGTTTGGGTGGGGACTACTAATCATGTTCTAAAATGTTCTGATATAAATTCTTGGAAGAAATATTTTGTGCATACGAACATGCAAACTTAAATGTTAGCTTATTGCACCAAATCGAGGATTGAGTTAACTTTTTTCTTTCCTTTGGTTTGCATTTTATCCCTTTGTATTTGTGTTGCAAGACTTCCCCCTGAGATGTTTATAATTATTATAATTAATGTTGGCTATTTTAACCTTAAACACACTTTTCAAAAAAATCCTACCGTAAGGGATAACTGGAGACCCTTTCTGGTAGACTGATTTAGGATTAGGGTTTACCTGATGTCCATTTGGAAGAACATTTGGTCACACTCATCAAGGATTAATAGTTGTTTCTTTGAATTAACTTAGTGAATTCAGTCTATAATTTGGTCCAAAGGGATTTTGCTTGACTCCAATTTGCTTGCTCCATTTGATCCTTTGAGCAATGCAGTACATAAATGTTTCATAATTCTTTACAGTAGTTAAAAGCTCATCTTGACAACGCAGGTGTGTGTAATTAAATTCATTACCAAATCCTAATAAAATGATAGACAATTGCTTTAATCGGGCTTGCTCATTTTCTCCCCACAAGTTTCACTAATTGATGTTTGCCGGCAAACAGTCACAACAACAATAATAATAATAATCCTTGCATTTGATATAGCACCTTATCACATCATTGAGACATCTCAAAGCGCTTCACAGGATATACTGTAAAGAGTAGCGACTGAGTATTTTTGAACAATAAATTAAGACATTTCAACAAAGTGGTAAAGCACTTATATTAAATTAAAGGATTATTGTTGTAGTGTTTCTTTAGACCGTAAAGATTGTTTGTACACTTCATTGTAGACAAATACTTTCACATAAGAGACCATTGATTGACTTACTCTTGCAGTAGGAGCACTGCTTCTAGCCTTAGCCAGCAGTCTTCTTGCTCTTTCGTACTCATTGTTCTCAGACTCCAGCTTAACCGCAGCCAACCAGATTTCCTCACTGTTGGGATTAGCCTGGTATTGAAAGAATGGTCCATAAACCACTTGCACAATAGCATTTTTAAAAGCATTTGCGTTTTACGCACAGCAAATGTTAACCCTCAAAAAATTTAGTGAGCTGACATGATTCATGCGATGAAGTACTTATTGCAAATGTATTTATCGGCTACATTGAATTACTCATGCGGAGTGAAGACTATTGATTAATTCAAATTCGATATGACATAGTTTGCTTGCAAATTGGAATTCACATAAATCAGATTAAATATTATGGTTCTGACTGACACTACTTATGTGAGTTTTACTGTATTTTCCATTCAAAACTACAAAAGCACCTCTGCCACCATTTACAAAGTGGCTGTAACAAGAAATTTGGAGAAGTTCATTGTCCAATCCTATCTACCTGGTTACAGAAGTAAATCTGTCCACAAGAAGGGAGCAATTTGAAAGGGGGAGACTCAAAAATATATCAATGCAATAGTACAGATTAAAATCACCATGTTACTGCGCATATAGGCACAGACACAATGGATTAAATTCTATGTTGTAAATTTCTATGGTTCTGTAGTCCATGAGAAAACAAGATGAACATTCAAAAGCCTTAGGAGAAACATATATTAACATTTTATGGACAAACCTGGAAAGCAAGGGCAAGAATGCTTCTCGCTGCAGGCACATCTCCAGCTAACCATTTGGACTTAGCCCCCATTAACCAAAGCACTTCTGCTTTTGGGCAGTGAGCCACAGCCCTTTGCAGGAGGGCCTCGAGAGATTCCCTGAAATAAAAGATACATTCATTTAATTGTGATTACCTTGTTTTCATGTTCAACCTAAGAAAGCATCCATTGTGTTCAAGCCAGCTATAAATTTAATGATTCACACGTAGTTATCTTGGTCTCCTATTATAGCTTTCCAGATATACAGCTTTGTCTTAAATCTGAAGGATCATAAAATTATCCAATCACTTCAGATTGCTTTTATGATAAGTCTCAATTTCATATGAAAAAAATCTCTTAACTTGAACATTTAAGTTTAATATTCTTATCTTATTTGTAGAATAAGCTTTTAATAATAAATAATTGTTGTATTTGATACAGTGCCTTATCACATCATTGAGATGCCTCAAAGCACTTCACAAAATATACTGTAAAGTGGAGTGACTGTATTTTGTGGGTGATACTTAGCAGCCTATTGCTATTTGTCTACTTTGGGGGAATTATCTAATGTAAACAATCGTACATAAAAACAAAATTGTTACTTTTACTAAATTTCTATTCGGAAAACAACGTGGATGATACAAGTATCTCAATGCCCCATGGTTAAGGAATATATTAAAAGAAGCCAGTTTTCCTGTTCCTTTATTTCTAATCACAGAAGTCCATTGTTCAAAAGGGTGATTTTTATAACATAATAATAATCCTTGCATTTGATGTAGCGTCTTATGATGTCTTTGAGACATCTCAAAGCGTTTCACAGGACATACTCTAAAGTGCAGTGACTGTGTATTTTGTGGGTGAAACTTGGCAGCCAATTGCGCACAGCAGTGTCCCACAAACAGTCAACTGAACCTACAGTAAACGAAGAGGAAATAAAGTAAATTGAAATATTAATTAAAAACATCAAGCACATCTGTTACTGGTTATTTGTTGGCATTTTATTTACCAGCAACAATATTGTATGTGATTAATGAGCAAAAGAACATATAGTAAATGCATTAGCAATAGGAGTCATCCTCAATCGTGTTTACTTCCATAGCACTTAAAATGCATTTTGAATTAATGATATTCAAGAAGGTCTAACAGTCATTTTGTGGCTTGTTCTAATTTATATAACAGAAATTATTTAGTCTACAGAAGCTATTCGAACAAACGCACAGTAAACAGTTACTAAGCAACTATTTCCCTTCAAGTATATATAAAGTGATTTGAATACGTCCAGTGCAACTTTACCTGGTGCCATAATTCTTTTCAAAATATGCAGCCCTCAACCACACACTCTTTTTGCTTGGGAAGACCTGGAGTGAATGTGCGTAAATGGCTCTGGCACATTCAAGCGCTCCATGGGAAATACACTGAGAAAAGAAAGAAATTAAGAAAAAAAATGAAAAATGCGAAAGACTAGATCGTATGCAAAAATCCCCCCATAAAACTCTCTTGGAACAAAAATAGCTATACACATAATTATCAAGTAATTCCACCACTCTCTCAGATAGGTCAACTCAAAGCGGGGAACACAGCTGGCATCTTCCTGGCTCAACCTGAAAGGCGCAATATAAATGTAATTTGTTGTTGCTGTACGGCTCAGCAACAATTCATACTGCAGCATTTACAACTGATGGCAAGTGCAAGATACTTTCTACACCACCAAAATTTCCTGTGGTGCGTTAGCAGACTTCATATTATTACTCACTAAATGTTTCTTTTACAGTTCTTCACTTGTTCTTAATTAAAATAGTTTGAAAGGCACTCATTCCCAAATTATTATTTTTCATGCCTAAACTAGAAAGGATTTGAAAATCTGCCAATTGAATTTGCTAACAGAGTTATAAATCTTGAAACAATTATCATTTAACATCAGCATAGTTTAGCCACCGAAAGCTGGTGAAATACTTAACAACATACACTTTCTGCATCTTCCATCCACGCATGCTTCCGATCTTCCTCCTCCACTCCAATTCCAATAACTGCTCGAATAATGGCCTGACAGGTAGCAACACTTCCTGCTTTATCACATTCCTCAGCATCCTGCAAACAGGAAAAACTACTCACTAAATATTGAAACACAAAGTCAAGTAAACTCAACCAAGGTTTATAAAACCGATTAGCAGAGAACTACAGTCTTCCTAAATGTGCAGGATACACACATTTTCATACTTTTGAGAAGTTCGCTTTGTTGCTCGGTTGCTAAATGTGATCAATTCACCTTTTAAACAAATAAGTAATTATGACAGTGCATAGCTGTAAGTATTTTGGGGGTTTTAAAAGAGTCTTAATTAACAATAATACAATTAAGCTAATGCCATCCATAGTGATTATATTAAAGTTTTACACTGAAACATAATGGAAGTGAATTTGCAATATCCCAGAACGGCACCTACTTATTTTTAAAAACATACAAATAAATGATCTCTAGATCTACAGCAATAGTTCTCAATAAATCAAATGTGAATTAAACAAACCCGATCTCATCAATCCAGAGTACTTAATGCTCCTGGAAGCAAATCACCAATGCCTGTTCGTAAGTCATTGTTTAAGTCGGATTTTAGACTTGCCAAAAAATCAAATTCCCAAAACATTCCCTCCCTGAAACAAATGGGTTCTGATCAGCAGATCCGACGTCTGTGAGCAGGTTGCCCAGCTGCTCTCCTAGCTAGTGTATGCTTTACATAATGGCCAATTTTCTAAAATGGGGGTTATACCAAAGAAACAGAATGAAGATCAGACTAATTAAAACAAGAGACTTCTTCACAATGCCAAACAATAAATTACTGCCAAATAAAGTGAATGGCCTTTTTTCACTCAAGAACCCAAAGTACTTTTACACCATTGAAAACTTCCCAAAGTTCATATTCAAAAGGCCATGAGAAAGAGAGAAACAATTAAATATAGTGTGCATTTAAAAACAATTCCCATGTTGGACTTTTTGAGTAGCTACCGGATGCCAAGCAAGGGAAAGGAGAGAAGGGCAGGGAAGGTAGTGATCAGAGAAGGGACTTGAAGACAAATAGAGATGAGCGAGATGAGGGAGTTTGAGGGGGAGTTCCAGAGATTTAGGGGCATTCGACTGGAAAAGTCTGGATACAGTTTTCAACACATTTTAGAGTGAGGTAGGAGTGAGGGCAGGAAATGTGGCAAAGGTGAAGAAAAATTGTCTTGGGCAGAGACCAGATTTGAGCGAGAAAGAAAAGCTGAGGATTGAACAGGATATAAAGATTGAACACTAATTCACTGAGATAAAGACTGGCTGGGGAGGTAGAGGAGGTAAAAGCAAGAAGTGAGGAAACATTGACGGGAGCTGAGGGGAATGGTTTCCGTCTTGCCAGGTTTAGTCACAGGAGATTTTAGCTCATCCAGGCCTTGATGTCTGACAGGCAAGTAGACAGAACATCAGTGGACCTGGAATCAAGAGTGGAAGTGGAAACAAATCTAATCTGCAGTTTTTTACCTTTTGGAAATAAATCTAACTTAACTATTGATCATTAACAATGAACAATAGGTTCAATAGCTATAACTTATTTCTTGAGTGTTTTACCAGTTTTATCATCCAAATTTTTTTTGAATTAATGCTGAATTTAGGGACCAAGATGTACATTAATACTGTATATGCCACACTGGAAAGTGGGAAATTGAGGGTGTGGCACAGACACAATTAATATTTACTCAAAATGTCCAAAGATTGTCATGAACATCTGGAGGAAGTTTACGATGCGTCACGAAACTAGTGAGCACCAAACAAGCCTTTTAACAAGAGGAAATGATTATCTAAATCTAGAAACATGCGGGTCAGGTCTGCATGCGATTCTGAAACAGCGGGGTTTGATTTTTTTGGTATTCAAATTAACCTTTGAGCTACCAAGGAATTCAATTATAGAGCAGTCGGCCTTGTCCAACCAAATGCTAAAAAAAAGGCCAACTTCCAGGTTATCAGGTTATCAGGTTATCAGGCAGCAACATCACTTCCAGCGGATGGCAGAGAATTGCCAGCTTGCTTTGTGGCTGCACAATCAATCTGGCAGCAGCGACCAGTGAAACTCTGGTTGGGATTTTAAGGAATCCAACTATCACATCATGATATTGTGTTTATCTGCGCCAAAATGCACCTTATTTTGATTTTCGATCACTCACATTCCATCATTATATCACATTCCATCATCAGTGCATTATTAACACAGAAAACATGGTTCTCGCAAAATGAGTTGCCGCTGCTCATTCTAGTTGATATTAGTTCTACTACTACTCGTCTTCTCCACGCGGCACTGCCAAAAAAAGAGCAGCACCAGACCAGTAACTTTCAGTTCAGGTCTAGTGCACTGCAAATAGAACAGGTTCACTAGACTTAATACATTGCAATGTGTGATTCAACCTGAGTGAGAATTGGTGTCCAGTATGCAATTCCGTCTTACCTGAATCCATTGTTCTCTGTTAATTTCCACTCCATTAGCTCTAAGTGAAGTAATAGCTCTGTCTATGATCTTTTCCACCATCTGAGTATTTCCATTCGCTTCTTCCAGTTTTGCTGCAGTTATCCAAATGTGTCTGTCCGTTGGAATATTTTCTCTTGCTTTGTTGAGGACTTTACGAGCATTTTCATAGGTCTCCAATCTTGCCAGAGCAAGCCAAAGCTTGAAAAAATTAAAACAAATTGTATGATTTTACATTATCTTGTTAGCTGAGGATAAAACATGTAGGCTTTACTCAGATTAATCATAAAATAGGTATGGATGGAAGAAGCCCTTGGAACCATTTGATATCCTCTTTTCTCCTTCCTGAACACCCCTCATTTTCTTTCTCAAACAATTTACTGTCCAACATTGAGAAAATGCAAGACTTATTCTTGCAGGAAAGCATCCCTTCTGATGCATGTGGTGGTATGACCTAATGTACTACAGATAAACTGCTAGAAAGAAATCAATTCAAAAACATTTTTTGCTCTGTATTCTTCTTACCTCAACGCTTGTAGGGCAACATTCAACAGCTCGGCTGAGCATAATCCTAGCATCCTCAGGTTCCTCCAGCTCAACTGCTGCTTTCCATAAACGCACAGAATTTGGAACGTGCTCCAGAGCTAGATTAAAAAAAGATTTATTTTTTCATTACACACTGGGTTGATGGACATGTAAAGTAATACCTTTTTTATTCTAATTTGTATTTTAAGTATTGTATTTATTAATTGTATTGGGTTACTATTAAAGCTGTTCCCGACATTGGAATAACTATCATTGCAATATGATTATTCTATCAATGGCTTTGAGAAAACTTATTAAACCAATCGATGGAGGCTGGAATTTCCCTAGACCTGCTGACATTTTATGAGTTAAAAATCAAAAGTACTATTATACTGTAAGAAGTCAATTGCGTAATAAATCACTGATATGAGTTGTATTGTATACCCAACAATGAACTTTCTTTTCACTTCTAAGTGTTGACTTTGCTCCAGGAGTTCAAAAGAAGCAAATACATAAACCACTTAAGTGTATTTTAAAGTGATCTTTAGCAGGGAATAGATCAAGATGCCCCTCTAGGTCAATGGAAAGATATTTGGAAAGTGAAAATAATATGGCTAAAAGCAACCTAAGAAAATGAAAGCTATTTTGAACGGCCTTATTTTCATGTTTCTTCCAGTTCTTTGGGCTAAATCGTGCAAAACATTGTGACATTGATAACATTTTTGTAATTAAAAATTATCCTAAACTATGAAAATGCATGGGTGCTTTTCGGCTGAACAATTTTGCTGTAGTCAGAAATAAAGAATCAGCTAAAAATATTCATTAATCATTTCCTGGCTATTTTAAACCCATCAACAATAAATCTACAAAATGCATTACCTGTATTTATTTGCTAATCTGTTTCATTTTACTTTACAATGCCCAGTGCAAAATGTTTATGTACACTGCATTATTATTTAATATTCACAATGCCCCAATTCAACCCAAAAGCGAAGACTTTTTAAAAATATATAAAAATGATTTCTCACCATTGAAGTCCATCACTCATTCACCTCCATACATATTACATCAAAATCAGAAATCATGCTCACCTTAGCAGCAGACTCTGAATAACACTAAGTTTAGCAATTAAAGAGGATAGGTAACCTGTATTGCGACACGATTGAAAACTGAACTGTGACATTGAGAAAGGCCATACACTAGCAACTCTTGGTGCTTTCAGTTAGACAGCAAGTTATTACATTGTCCACAAATTGTTACGTAGCGATCCCTTATGCAAAATATTACATTTGAAATTCAAATTGAAAATATTAAATCGACATCTAGAGATCACATATCATTAATATATCTCCTAAAGAGTACCAAATCTGTGAAGTGTAATTTTGGTGGTCACCTTTCCTGAGAACACGTTTCTTGGCTCGGAGATCGGTTTCTAGTTCTGCGGCTCGTATATATATGCGGACAGACTGTGGCAGATGTCGAACAGCGTTTGCTACCACTGCCTTTGCTGTGTCGCCAGGCTGTAGTCGAGCTGCTTCCAACCAAACATCTTCGCTCTGGAAATTCGTTAAAGAAAACAAGTCAAAGTACCAATTTGCTTTACAGGACATCTGATTATCAGAATGTTTAAATGAAACTGTTCAAGACACTGGCAACTATCAATATATACTACTGTTTTTATTAGACAATTTGCAGGAGATTCACTAAAGGTCAGATGACCATCACATTATCAACAAATGACATTTTTCTGCAGTGCATATTAAATCTCTTTAGGATTACCATCTCACAAAAGGACATTACAAACTTCTTGAGACGTAATAATAATCCTTGCATTTGATATAATATAATGAATCCTTGCATTTGATTTAGCGCTTTATCACGTCGTTGAGAAGTCTCAAAGTGTTTCACAAAATATAGGGCCATCAGTATAAAATAGTGTCAAATAGATCAAATAGGGAAGTTAGAAGAAATTTCTTCACACACAGTGGGAATGTGGAACATGCTACCATAAGGAGTTGTTGAGGCAAATAAGGGAAAGCTAGATAGGACATGAGGGAAAAAGGAATAGAAGGTTATGCTGGAAGGCTTAGTTGAGGAAGGGTAGGAGGAGGCTCATGTGGAGCATAAACACCGGTGTAGACCAGTTGGGCCGAATGGCCTGTTTCTGTGCTGTATACTCTAATGTAATCTAATGTAATATTGCAAAGTGGATTGACTGTGTATTTTGTGGGCAAAACCCGGCAGCCAATTGCGCACAGCGGTGTCTCACTCAAACAATGTTGGATGGAGTAATCAATGTTTTTGAGGGAGTTGGGGGATAATCTATAGCGGCGTCCACTATATAACAAAAAATATTCAAATGTAACATTTTCATTTAGTTACCTTTGGACACATCTCAGTCCCTTTCATAATTAGGTTTCTGGCCACCTGGAGTTTTCCCGTTACTTCCTCGAGCCTCGCAGACGCGATCCAAGCTGGAGGATGATGAGGATTTGTCTCACGCACAGATTTCAGCAACAATCTGGCTTTTTTAATGTCACTGTGCCAAGAAGAAGGATTTTTTTTAAACTGTAATTGTTTTGGCAAATAAGCTTTTTGGCAAGACTGCCACTTAGATATACTGATCACGACAACCACGGACAGTTTGTATCCCTGTTTATAGTACACCGCAAAACGACAGGGTTTTAATCTGTAGAAATTGCAAAGCTTTCAAGAATTACAAAGAGTCTGCCAATTTTGCTGAAGTAAAATCTTTGGCATTTCGAGGGCCACACTCTTCTTTGACTAATTTTCTGGCCTCCTACCTATTTGGCTGCAAAACTCAACTCAAAACAAAATCAGTCCTAATTGAAGCAGATGCTCTGGTATGTTCTGATTTGTAAATATTGTTAGTAATTTGATATTAATATTTTAGTGTAACATTTTCTTATTTATTTAAATCTGTCTTTCTGTTGATATGTTATTGGGCCTTTTTAGGTAAGCAAAGTGAGTGTTACAGACTAAGTCTTATCAATTTATAATCTGTATGGCACTGTGGCAATCCAGTTGGAGACCCACAATGAGAACATAGATCAGTCTTTCACTACATTGTTTTGGGTTGGATTTCACCCAGGGCCCAGAGATGCAGGAACATTATGTAACCTACTCGAACCACTTAACTTTTTAAATTATTTTTGCTGAAATGTTCTTCTGCAGATATTGTTGCTAAAATCACTTACAGACCATTATGTCAATCTAGTTTTCTCCCTGCCTTTGCAATACTTAGCATCTTCTTTATCTGGGCTTTAAGCGGTCCTTGCCAATGCATTGTACAGTATCATTACAGCAGTGTTTGAATAGGGTAATTCTCAAGTAAAGCAACAAACCATACAATGTTTTTGAAGCAGAATTTGCTTAATTAAAACAAATATTAAACAAAAAATGTCTTTCAGTGTAAACATTTTGTAGCTGGATATTTTGTAACTGAATGTTTATATATTCCTATGCAACATATGCAGGCAACTGATAGAATTGTAAGTTTGTTATAGGTGAACAAACCTTTTCTTTATATTTCACCTTCTTTGACTAAATCATTGTACTTACTTAATATCTCCGCCATGAGTTGGAATCATAGAGTTCAGATCAGTGAGGTAACCTTTAGGGTCAACAACAGTTTGTCCACTAACAGAATCAGACACCTGAAACAATCATTGGGGATAATTAACATGAACATTTTCTAGTAGCAATATACAAGTTATGCTGATTCATATTGAAAATGTATTTCAGCTTCCAGTCCTGCAGAAACTGCCTCACAATACTGTATAAGGTGTTTGCATAGAGAAGACTCTTTGGCCAAATTAGAGACCTGTAAATGCCCACACACTTGTTTTGAACTTTAAAACTGCAAACTCACTAATTAAAGTTATGTTCTAGAGATGTTTTCAAATAAATTTTAATTAATAACAGCATTCGCACGATGATATTTTTAATTTTAATTTCACAAAGTGAAGGTATATTTGGTTATAATTCTACTGATATTAAGGTTTTACTGAACTCTAGGATATTACATCCACCAAAAATAAAATCACCAAAACATAAAACACTTATTTCAAAACTTACATAACTGTTTATTAACCATATCGAACTTACTTGGCTTAGTCTCATGTCCATCAACGTGTTTCTGGCCTGACCAATCTTTCTCATGTCCAGCTCTCCTGATCCAGGTGTCATTAGACCAGGTGTCATTCCAGGTGGGTAGGGTGTATTCAGGCCACCAGGGAAAGAGGACGGTAAGCCAGGAAACTGCTATAACAAACATTAAAACACATCTATTAAATTGCATGATGCATTTCATAATATACAAATGGAACAAAAAAATAAAATTAATCATTCTGCACAAATCATTCCAATGTTGTTCCTATTTTCTACAAATCAGAGCCCCATTTCAAGGCAAGCAAATCAGTGTGCCATAGACGCATCCCAGGAGACGTTAAGTTTCAGGAATACAAAGGAATCTGCAAACCTTTTGCATTTCTGCAAGTATCTCTCTGTGTTGTACAGTCAAGTGAAATTTCACTTGTCTTGTAAAGGCAGAGCTGTGCATTTCATAGATGGCTACACAACTGACAAAGAGTCAGGATGCTGCAATATACACTGCCATCTGGTGGTTTTAGTAAAATCACATAAAAGTGCAGTAGTTAAATAAAAATACTGAAAAATATTATCTCAAGGAGTCCTTGGGACATCCTCCCAACATGAAATGTAATTTTGTTGTTATTGTAATTGTTGCACTGCTAAATTTCATAGACCACCAGGTAAATTACTTTCATATTTTGTTGGTACCCAATATGACATTAAACATGAATAGTGCAAACAGAAAATAGATGAGTAATGAACTTGAGATGGGGGTGGGCATGAGATACTCCCAAGTCGCCTCATGCAGTTTGCATATGGTTTAAACTCAACAGTTTCATGTCATCTTGTCCATAATATAAGTCAATCAACAAACGTTGATGTTGAGTTATGTTTCAGGAAAGGATTTTTTAGTATACCTTTTAAATGCAATAACAAAGAACAAGTCATTAAATTTATATTATTTTCTTAGGTCATACAGCTACAATTATTCTGCATAAATGCAGTAATACTAACCGCTTGTCTAGGATCCACAGATGTATGTTGCTCTCCTGTTTGCAAATGTTTGGCAAAGAAACTATCTGGTACTGGGGTCAGCTTCTCATAACGAGGATTTCTCTGACGTTTGTTTCGGGCGTCACCAACTTCTGGAATGCTCAACCATTCTTCTTCCGTTACTTCTGAAAGTTTTCTCTAAATAAGCAAAAATACAAGCTTAATGATTCAAACTATTTTAGCAAAGTGTTGACATTTTTTATTTTCAGATAGGTCCAATGTCCCACACAATGCCACAGAACATAAATCCCAGAAGCAGGTTGCCATCCATCCTCTAAGCTTGGGACATTGCCTTGCACAAGATTTAAGAGAAGCTACCTTTAAATACAGGATGTTTCACCTGGAAAGGCAAGATCAAATTTACCTTCAGATCGGAGAACTGCTGTTGGATTTTTGGACGTTCCATACGGTACTTCTCAATTTCTTCTCTCTCCCGTTGTTCCCTAATTAAAGAGAATACCGGTTTCATTTTTTTAAATATACAAACACAATTAATAAAAACATAATATAAGACATGGTTCATGACATTTCAAAACAACCCATTTAAACAACTTATCAGTGAAGTTACAAATCTTAACAATAATTCTACGGTTGATTGTCTAAAGACCTGCTTCTTCGACCGTGCCTTCAGCCATCCTCCCATCCCCACACGCCCTGCCCTCCTCCCTTTCTGACCCCAACTCCCAGCTCGGACCCAAAACCCTTGATTGTCCAGTGCCTTGGGATATCTTTCTGACATGAAGGGCGCTATACAAGTGTAATTTGCTGTTGTTAAGACACATAGTCCAAATGTTAACTCCTCACGTAAAATCAGATTTGATAAGTAAATAGTGTAAAAGTTGGTAGAAAGTGTTTTTTCCATTTCTATGTACATCGGGTGGCTTAAAAGGGCATGAGTGAACAAGAGCAAGTACATTCAGATGTCTCAAACATTCACCTAAGTGGCTCCTGAGAGCACACAAAGGCAACGAGAAATTAGTGTACTCGAAAAAGTGAGTCTTTGAAATGTATGGATTACTTATGGCCTGCCCTCAACTTCACTGAACAAAATTCAAACACCCTACATAGCTCTGAATAATTATGGTTAATCTTATGTACAATCTATCAGATATAATTCAACTGGCTTGTAATCAAGCTGGAAATCCCACTTGCTAAAACAAGAGATCAGAATTGCCAGTCATGTGTGCCCCTCTTATATTGCAGTACATACTGAATTCAAACACTTATATTCTACATTGATAACCATTAACTAGTTTTGGTGTATTGTTCTTTAGAAAATATAAAGTAGTAAAATGAAATAAATTCATGAACAAGCTTTTATACCTTCTGTCTTTCCTTCTTTCATCCATTCTCTTGTCCAAGGCTGCGTAAATTGCATCGGCCTCTTCATCATCTTTTTCATATGGTCCACTTGAGAACAGACTTCCAGCATATCCATTGAACTTTAAACAAAAAACTTTAACTATGTGAAAACTAGTACAATCGAATAGTGTTTATCTCTTTTTGCTTAAAATTTTTGCTGGAAGAAAGACACTGAACACGCAGGACCTCCAATTTTAACATTGAGGATTTATGGCAAACCTAGCTGGTTCACTCTAAAGTAGAGCGGTTGTAAGGACAGGAAAGAAGAAACTTGAAAAGGACAAAGAAAATAACTGGACTAATGGTGAAGAAACTAATGCGATGATCAAAATAATGATCAGGGTCTTAAGTAGCAATGACATCATCCAACATCATTAGGAAGTAAATAAAAGTGAAAAAAAATGCAACACCTTACGCTAGCCATTCCTGCACTATTGTTGGATGGTCGTGTGCATCATTTATTGTTGTTTTTGGAATAAACATGGGCACTTTCAACCTAAACAAGAATTGTTGGAAGTCGTATCTATATACGCAATAAATCACCTCATCATAATTAGTATCATTCAAATCCTCATCGTCATCATCTGCCTGATTCTTTTTCATTTGATCACCAACGGTCCTTTTCCCTGGAGGAGCATGACGATCATCAACAGGGTCGTTCGCATCTCGAGCAGGACCAATATCAGAACGGGTCGTGAAACCAGTAGCACTGGATCGAGCACAAAACATAAATTAGCAACGAGTCAAAACAGCACGAACGAATAGGCTCAGAATCGCCATTACTTACTCCAGCTATTTCTATGAGGTTCTCAGAGAGCCTTTTTTTTTTTAGCGCGCAACGCTCGCTAACGCCTGTCTCCCCAGCGCCACCATTCAAAAAGATCAGCTCATTCAGAACTCTGCCGCCCGCATACCGACCCGGACCAGACTCCGTACCCGCATCTCACCAGTTCCGGCCCAGGCTGCACTGGCTCCTTATTGCCGAACAGATCGACTTCAGGATCCTCACGCGCGTGTTCAAATCCCGTCACCCCCTGGCACCTCCCTACCCCTCCGAGCTACTCACTGCCCCATTCCACCGCGCGTCGCCTCCGCTCGACAGGTACCGGCTTCGCCGCCGTTAAGCGCTCTGAGACGCTACCCTGCGTGGAGGGTGCTGTATAAGTGCCAGTTGTTGCTCTAAAAGCTAAGGATGTGTAAGCAAAAAGGCCTTGAAATGGAAGGAGGGAGATGGAGAGGGAGGGGGGGGGGGGAGTGAGAGAGATGGAAGAAGGGGGAGAGAAGGGAGAGAGGGGGGGAGGGAGTGGGGAGGGAGATGGGGAGGGGGAGAGAGAGTGGGGGGGGAGAGAGAGGGGGGATGGGGGGAGAGAGAGGGAGGGATGGGGGGGAGAGAGGAGGGGGGGGATGGGGGGAGAGAGGAGGGGGGGGGGGGGGAGAGAGGAGGGGAGGGATGGGGGGGGAGAGAGGAGGGGAGGGATGGGGGGGGAGAGAGGAGGGGAGGGATGGGGGGAGAGAGGAGGGAGGGATGGGGGGGAGAGAGGAGGGGAGGGATGGGGGGGAGAGAGGAGGGGAGGGATGGGGGGGGAGAGGAGGGGAGGGATGGGGGGGGGAGAGGAGGGGAGGGATGGGGGGGGAGAGAGGAGGGGAGGGATGGGGGGGGAGAGAGGAGGGAGGGATGGGGGGGAGAGAGGAGGGGAGGGATGGGGGGGAGAGAGGAGGGGAGGGATGGGGGGGGAGAGAGGAGGGGAGGGATGGGGGGAGAGAGGGGAGGGATGGGGGGGGGATGTGAGGAGGGGGGGGGAGAGAGGAGGATGGGGGGAGAGGGAGGAGAGGGATGGGTGGGGGAGGAGAGGGAGGATGGGGGGGAGAGAGGGAGAGAGAGGGATGGGGGGAGAGAGGGAGGGATGGGGGGGGAGGGATGGGGAGAGGGGGGGGGAGAGAGGAGGGATGGGGGGGGAGAGGAGGGGAGGGATGGGGGGGAGAGAGGAGGGGAGGGATGGGGGGGGAGAGAGGAGGGGAGGGGTGGGGGGGGGAGAGAGGAGGGGAGGGATGGGGGGGGGAGAGAGGAGGGGAGAGAGGGGGGAAGGGAGATGGGGGGAGAGGAGGGGAGAGAGGGGGGAAGGGAGATGGGGAGAGAGGAGGGAGAGAGGCCTAGGCCTCGCCGCCCCCTCCCCCCCCGGGAACCCGGCAGCAGCCGGTCAGTCACTGACCCTCTCCCCAGACCCGGCACGTATCCCAGGGGAGCCGGCATGCCCAGGAAGGGCTTCTTCTTTCGGTTCAACGTCCCGGTCAGTGCGGGGCCGCCCGCGCTGCCCCCGGAGCTCGGCGCCGCCGCCATTGCTCAGACACCGACACGGCGGGTGCTGTCCCGGCGGCCACCGCGCCGAGGCTGAGCGGTCACGTGGCTCCGGGGAACCGTGACCCTCAGTGACCCGCACTGTGTGTTCACAGCCAAAGGGGGGGGGGGGGGGGAGAGGGAGGGATGGAGGTGGGGAGAGGGATGGGGGGGGAGAAGGATGGAGTGGGGGGGAGGGGGGGAGAGGGATGGAGGGAGAGGGATGGAGGGAGTGTGAGAGGGAGAGGGATGGAGGGAGAGGGATGGAAGGGGGGAGAGGGATGGAGGGGGGGAGAGGGATGGAGGGAGAGGGAGAGGGGGGGAGAGGGATGGAGAGGGATGGAGAGGGGAGAGGGATGGAGGGAGGGGAGGGAGGGAGGGATGGAGGGAGGAGAGGGATGGAGGGGGAGAGGGATGGAGGGAGAGAGATGTAGAGGGGGAGAGGGATGGAGGGGGGGGAGAGGGATGGAGGGAAGGAGGGGGAGAGGGATGGAGGGGGGAGAGGGATGGAAGGGGGGGAGAGGGATGGAGGGGGGGAGAGGGATGGAGAGGGGAGAGGGATGGAGGGAGAGGGAGGGAGGAGAGGGATAGAGGGAGGAGGATGGAGGGAGGGGGAGATGGAGGGAGGGGGGAGAGGGATGGAGAGGGGAGAGGGGTGGAGGTGGGAGAGGGAGGGGGGGGAGAGGGAGAGGGAGAGGGATAGAGGGAGGAGGAGATGGAGGGAGGGGGAGAGGGAAGGAAGAAGGGGGAGATGGAGGGAGGGGGGAGATGGAGGGAGGGGGGGTGGTTCCTCACTGCAGTGTCCTCTCTGTACTCACCTGCTCTGTACTCACTGCACTAATCACTGCCCTGATCACAGCACTGTACTGTCCTCACTGCACTGACCTGTCATCACAACCCTGATCTGTACTACTCTGTCTTCACTGCCCTGATCACAGCACTAATCACTGCCCTGTACTGCTCTGCTCTGTGCTCACTGCTCTGATCACAGCCTGAGCTGTCCTCACAGACTTCACCCCAACCTTAACCACAGGACTGACCTGCTCTGTGCTTACAGCCTTAATCATTGCCCTAATCACAGTTCTGTTGTACTGTACTAATCTGCTCTCTTCTCACAACCCTAATCGCAGCACTGTAACTGCATTTTGCCATTGTATTTTAGGTCAACACATTAACCAGTTCATTGGTCCTAACCCCCTCTTTTCAGCTTTGACGACTACATCAAAGATACTGGAGCACCATTGCTGCAAATAGTTCAAGGGATAAAACGTGTCTGAGATTCATGATGTAGCATGTCCTCCAGACATGCTCAGCACAACGAGGAAGTCTCATTATCAATGCCATTTGCAATCTCTGAAGGGTAACATTAATCTCCAGAGAGAACAAACGTCCATCAGATATTTATTTCAGCCCTGGCTTTGAGTGCTTACAGAATCAATTTCAAATTCCTAAATTGGCTGTTTAATTAACAATGTCCAATTCACTGCAACAACTCATTTACAGAAAAGAGGTGGCAGTATAGAGTCACTTCAACTAAGACACATGGTACTGATAGAGATGTTATATACAGTACTTGTAGTAAAAATAGAAGTAGTGTTTCTGAACACCATTATACATACACAATGTTAAACAAATCTATAAATAATAAACAATGGGGTCTGTGACTAGATTGGCTACTGTTTGATTTTGTTGAATTCAGAGATTTCAATTTGGATCCATGCGTCAATGGTTATTAGTGTACTAACATCACACTTTACTTTGATACTTTAGCCTCTGCTGCTCAAAGGTATACAAACCGAAAGAATAAAATGAGTTTTAAGATAATAATTTGGTTTGTATATTGTTGAGATTAAAATGTAATATTTTAGTACCTTCATTACATAAATAGATATTGGATTTTTTTTACTCAAATGTGTGAAAAAAAATCACACAGATAACAAAATACCAGAGTCATCGATGTAATTAAACCTATTGCAACACCATCTATATTTTAAACACAGTTTGTTGCCTTGGTATAACAAGGTTTTCAGTTTCATCGGACTTCTATGCAATGATTCTTCCTTCAGAAAGATCTACGTTAATTCTTTGTTCCTCGGATTACACTTGGATTTTAAACTCCCTTAAGTCAACAATTATGTTAGATCTGCAAGAGAATGCATTCAATAAGATTTGAGAAACTGTATTTTCTATTGTAATAAATATTAGTGTTTGGTGGTTTGTGGGAATTGAGCAACATTGGAGCTGATATTCTGTTACATTCCTAAAGGCAATAATTCTTAAGTGTTAGCATTTTCTTTTCCAAAACATTGTATCTTTGTAATTATCTAAACATCCTATATCTCAACAGTATTTGAAAAATTCCTTTAGGGAAGCGTAAACCTACACTACATCCATAATGTATCGCTTCTGACCACACAATTCAAGCAACTACAGCAAATATGTCTTCCACACAAGCACCTGATTTATGAGATAAATTAGCTGTCAGCTTAATCAAGAAACGAGAAATCAGCTGTAAACTGAATGTTGTTCACCAACTGACCTTTCTTGCTGTTGAATTATCTACCAATGCTTCATGCACTGGAAATAGTGCACATCAAAAGCCCTGGTAATCTTCTCCAGTTCACACAAAAGCACAATTTCAGCCTGTGCTCAGAATGCAGCAATTACTTAAAGCACAGACATGTTACATGAAGCACTATTGCTACCATTTCTTTGGTTGCAAGTTTGCCTTTCTCTGCCAATAACATCACACATAAAAACAAAAATCAACAAGGAGTAAGTGTGCATCAAGCTTTAATTCAGATCAGATTTCAATTTCGATGTCTACAATATATTGCATGTCTTTTCATGGCAGTACAAGAGTGTTAGCTTTATTTTGGGGTATTCCAAGTGAATCCTCTAAGCTCCTTCACCCACCCAACAGGTAAAGGGACTCCCACCTAGAACCATAAGGATGTGGGTTTGATTTGCATCCTGTGTTTTACGTTAAATAACCCCCCCCCCCCATTATCTGATTGGTTGCTCAACACATTGGCTCATTAATTACATACTTTTACTGCAGTACAGTGAAAATTACTGTATTAGCCATCCTTGTGTTGGGCAACAGTTTTTTGTCCATGATCACAGTTGCTATTAATTGGAATCCGTTTAAAAAGACTGGGAAAGATAAATACAGAATTCGTGATGTAAAGTAAAGTGAATCTTTGTGAAGATTGTTAATAGTAGTATTGCTGAAACACTTCATTGAATCCACATTCGGTCAGATACAAAAATACACCGAATACACTGGAACACTATATCATGAATGGATCTTTGAGGTCTTCAAGGATGTCTGATGAATAGTGCATTGGGGATCGAGAAAGTCAAGGGTATTATTACTCAAATTACAACATGAGCTCATCTCTTTGTAGGATTTCTATGTGCTCTCGGGCACTGGTATAAATAACCCCCAGGGTTAAAAGTCACTGCCTTTGAGGACTAAATGCAGGCTGAATAGGGGGGGGGGGGGGGGGGAATCAAACCACACAAAGGAAAAGCTCTTCAGTTGTGTTGTGTTTTCACCAAATTAAAAATTGTCAGCATGCTATTGCGGTGGTCAAAGCGTTAATAATGGTACAATGGCAATTTTCCAGATGAAAGTCCAACTCGCTTATTGTAAGGCTGAACTAAACACAAGGTTTGTGAGTGGAAAGAAACAGACGCGAGGGATAAGAACAGTTGCAATTAAGCTCTCAGCAACCCTCTTTGATTTATCAGAGCCTCATTTCTCTCTCTCTCTCTTTCTCTCTCTCTCCTGTTGCACCATTCTCCTCGGAATTCATCAGACAGAGGCACCTGCCACAACTGGTTGCTTGTTTCCAAATAACCATTTGCATTCCCTGTAATTTAAAAGATGTGGTCCCTGAAAAGATTTTTTTGTTTAGTGCATAACATTTGGCAGTGCATTAGAAAGACTTTTACAGCCATGCATATTCAGAAGATAATGTTTTCACAAGTGTCGGCCCATGTTGTACATAATTAACTAATTTAACTGACTGACTGATTTAATGGGCTGATGCTTTGATAGTGAGGGATTCCAATTCCCCTAAAACAAACTGAATTTCCGATCTATTTAAAGGCAACTTACTATTCTACAGTGAACCAACAATGCTAATGCAAGGATAGCTCATGCTTGGAACTGTGATAATATTCTTTGAATAAATTCTAATTCACTCTCACTTTGGTACCCCCTACCTGTACATTCCCTATCCCTTTGATATGCCTGACGTTTAAAAAGAAAGACCTTGTATTCCTGTGTTGCCCTCGCAATTGTGAGATAGGAATAATCCTGCCTTCAAACCCTAGTAATTAGCAAACAAAACAAGATTTGGGCCTTTTTTTTTTACAAATCAGTTACAATTCTTCCTGAGTTTTGCTACTGGATTCCATTGCAAGAAAATGAAATACTTCCCCTCTGGTTTCCCCTCATAACATCGTCATGTTCACTAACCATCTTTATGAAATTGCCAATTTAGAGCCAATTTAGTCTGAGCCGGGGGCTTATTTGCACAACGAAGATTACTTGAACACTTTGGAGCCCTGCTGTGCGACCACCTAGATGGGCAATGCAGTCTTTTCTCTCCCCCCCACCCACCCCCATAAATTTTCTTATCCAAATACGTCCACAAATTGAGCAGAAAAACCTGAAACCAGCCCAGTTCATGCCAGTTTTTTGAGGGGATGGTGTGTGTGTGTGTGTGGGGGGGGGGGGGTTGGCAGCGAATGATCTCAATTAAAAATAAGCCCTGGAGTTTGTGAGCCAGGAATCTTACCAAGTCTTATACTTTTGCGACGAGTCACTGGGTGTTCTTTAGATCAGAGGGGGTGAAAAAAAAATACAAAAGCAGTTTCCTGCTTTGCTCTTTAAAAGTTAAAAGAACGGTTGTACAGATTGCAATAGGTTTTAACTCATTCCCCCCCTCCTCTTTGTTCTCATAATAACTGCTCTGTACCGCAAGAGGGATTGTCAGGCAGGGAATTACTGAGCAGAGAGCTAGTCCTGGCTTGACTTGGATCTGATCAGCTCAGCCACTGTGTGTGTGTGTGTGAGAGAGAGTGAGTGAGTGTGTGTGTGTGTTTTCATTACAGTGCACGATAATCCTCCTCCACAAAGCATCCTCCCTCCAGCAGATCCACCAGACGTGGGGCGTTTTGTGATCATTTAGTCCATCGCCTTGAATTGGGGGCTCTTTTAAAAAAAAGAGGCTGTTGGGTGCATTTCCGGTAGCCTGGTGGGGGGGGGGTGTGTGTGTATATATATTATATATATATATGTGTGTGTGTGAGAGAGAGAGAGAGAAAGAGAGAGGTGTGAGAGTGTAGATCAGCTGAGAACATCCTGCCACTGCTGTTCCAGAGGCAGTGAGGGATCCTGCACACACTGTGTGAAGCTCCCCACCAGAATGGCAACTACACCATAAGCTCAGACAGCAATTCCTAGCAATGGCTGTGGACGGTAAGGTCGAACGCTGTATATATGTCTGCGAGATATCTCTCTTATGCATTATCCATATATGTGTATGCAGGAGAGTGGCTAAGCTTTCAGAAGCTGCTCGATGTTAAAATAAAGACGTTGATGGTTTTTTTCTCATACCGGTTCTAATTAACAAAACTGATGCTCAGCCTGTGGGGTTTTTTTTTTGCTGCTGTTGTTGTTGTTGCTGTCTGTCTGTCTGTCTCTCGTTCGTAGTGTGGATTTATTTATTTCAATTGCTGTCGTCGTCGTCGTTGTTGTTGTTGCGGTGTACAATTTGGGAAGGTTTGAGTGTGGGGCTGTTTGCAGCTTTTATCAGTTTTGATTCATCAGGTCCTGTGGTGTAGTTTACACCTCACCAGGCAAAGCTCAGTGATAGATACTGTAGTAAACGTGACTGTTCAACCCTCTGGAAGGTGTGTGTGTGTGTGTGTGTGTTGCCTGTATTTTCTGTGGTTGTATTTTTTTTGATAGGTTTTCTAGTTGCAAAGCTTTTTTTTTCTCTCTTGGGTCTCTTTTTTCCCCTATTGGTGTCTCAGAGCAGATTCACTGTGAGCTCCAGGGTAACATTATGTTTCGACTAATATGCTGCGTCTTAATGCAATAGTTTCATCTAACAACCAGACAAGAGATAGGAAAACTGCAATGTAATCTCATCTCACCCAGGACTATGTAAAGACATATAAATCTACCAGCGGTGGTGAGGCCAGTGGAGGATGTCAGGGTGAATCTCCTGGTCAATTCAATTTAAAAACGACGTGCAAAGAGTGATCTGCATTTTGACTTCATAATTGTGTTGAAGTAACTTGAATTAAGTCGATGTGTAGATTAATTATTCTTGTTAACCATCTCCTCTCCCCCTCCACACACACACACACAAACAAGGAGAAAACTGGCTTCTCTTGTAAAAAAGAGGTAAATCAAACTCTTCAGTATATATTGAACAGTGCAGAAATTAGATGGTATTTAATATGATTCAGTATTGCTGACTGCAAGCTGCGTTGAGTTAGATAAATCCAATTATTAAAACAAAACCATTAACATGCAGTAGTCCAATCTTCCAATTTTGTCTTTCTAATTGAAGAATATCCATAGAATATACCAGGCAGATATTAATTGCTATAATTTTGTGTATCAAAGTGTCTAAAGCCATTTAACTATAATAATCCTTGCATTTGATATAGTGCCTTATCACAGCTTCGAGACATCTCAAAGCGCTTTGTAGATTAATAATAATAATCCTTGCATTTGATATAGCGCTTTTCACGTCAGGAGGACGTCCCAAAGCGCTTCACAGAATATGCTGTAAAGTGATTTGATTATATCATTTGCGAGTGAAACGCTGATCAAACTTGATAGAATGAGCCTTTGTCATTTGCGACACAAGGATGTAAGATTTCTATCCATACTATTTGTTGGTTTATGCATTTTTGTTAACAAAAACCACGCTGAAAATGTAACTGCTTGAATAGATTTTTTTTAAAAAAATCTTATTTTCTTTCAATTGTAGGCGAGGTTGCTATTGCTCCTCATCCTTGTTTTCAACCCCCTCCTGTAGCCTTGCTCCATCTTATGTGTTCAATCTTTACCGGCCCATTCTTCTGAATCTCGTTTATTCCTCGTTGTTCAATATGCTTTTTCTACTGTAAGAGAACTCGCTTCCAACAACAACTTCCCCTCTTTTTAAATATCCTAAAGATATATCTTTTCCAATGTGGCTTTGATCACCTCTACATTCTCCCAAATTTGTTTGGTGTCTCTATTTGTTGAACACTTTACAAACAAAATGGTGCTATTTAGATGCAAGTTGTAGTGTGACAAAGTAACACATGCAGGTTTTTTGTATAAATACAGAGGTCAAGTGAAAAACAAGAATGTGCTGCTGCTCTTTCATACATTATTTCATTACACTTCATTGACTTTATTCTTTAAGAATAATGGAGAAAAAACATAGTTCACTGGTGCAAATCGCCTTAACATCTCTAGGTAAATAAACAGATTAAACCATGGAGAAAAATCAATCTGCAATAAATCAAATCATTTATCTTTTCAATCTACCCTAAGACAGTTAGATAAAGATTCAATGTGCTTTTGAAGTGATGGTAAATCAATACAAATTCCACATGCAGTAATAGACTGTAGTTAATGAGATGCAGTACATAATGAATTGAGGTATTGACTTGAAACTTTGTAATTAACACCAGCCACCCCTCAAAAGCACACTGTATTTTAAAACAATTTCCAACTAGTTTTAGTTATTGCATTTTAAGAATGATACTAGGAAAAGATCTGATACAGTACCACTATCATAGCGTCATAATGAACAGTTAACTTTTGACAAACTATGCATTTCATTTATTTTGTTTCAAAATTCTTAAAATAATTGAGAAATTCACAATAAAAGAAGTATTGCATTTAGGTGAAAATTGGGTTTTGTAATTATTGCAATTTTCACTCAACTATGAAATATAAATTGTTCGTCCATGAAACAGAGAGCAGGGTATGTTAGTTGAGCTGGTCTCATTTTATTTAGTTTGTAGGAATTTCAATACAACATCTGTGTTGAGGTTTTGATGGTTTCTTAACCTTAATGCTTTCAAAGTGGTCATTGATGTTGTTGCGAAGTAAATGCTTTAAAGTTAGTTTGCATTCATTCTCTCATCTTAAATGGCATTTAAAATGATTAAAATTGTTCTCGTGATCCACTTTGAATGAAGATAATGTTTTGTTTTATTACAAATGCACAGTACTTTCCTTCCAGAGATCCGAATGGTAAAACCCTCTTATGTACATAAATGTGTAAAGCTATTCTGTAAATAGGAACATGAAGTGAATGATTTGCCAGAGCCATTCAACCATCATACTCCTGACAATAAAGGTATCAATAATATTCTTGCACTTTACAATCTGTACCTATTTTCTGCGAACAATGATAGCAAAGGTATGTTAGTGATTGTAATGTACATTTAGTTTAATCCTTATGTACAATTAGTGGATGGATTTCATGATCTCTTCTATGAAAGCTACTAAACAGTGATGCAGAGAACTGAAAGCCTCTTCCCTTTGCTGTTACTTTTGACATTCATATCACATTCTATCTTCAAGATGACTGTTATAACATTTGGGTTACTGAGCATCCACGCACATTTATCCCCACAACCACATGCTCTCTGAAACACAAATTATGATGTATGTTTTCTCCCCGTTCCACCCCCACCCCCCCACTTCCTCCCCCTAAAAGATTCCACTGATAAATAAAAGTGCATCTCGACAAAGGAAAGAAAAGAGGGTTTATATAAATTGACCGGAAGTAATAGAACCAGATCAGAGAGAGCAGAATTTGTTCTGCTTCAGTGAGCATAACAATTGCAGGATGAAAAAGGAGGGATCAGGCTCTCCCTAGCAGCTTACCACATTATGCAATGCGTAGCTGAGCCAAATGAGAGAAGTCCCAGTCTTGATTTCTCTCACCCCAACTGCGTTAGCTGATCTCAGTTGGAGGAGTTTAGCAGCTAATCTTGCTTCGGGTAAGAGAAGATCAGTCAATATTCCTAGTTTTTATCACAAAATAGCACTTTACCAAATCCCCATGCATTTTTTTTAAACTTAACAAAAATTGGTTCTGAATACATAACAAGTACTTTAATTTTTACAGTTTAACTTCATTTTTCCGCAAAAGTTAAATTCGCAAAGGCTCAAAGTTATAAATTTTCAGTTTTTTTTTCTTAGCTCGGAAAAAATTAGTTACTTGTTGTATTTTGGTTACTTATACTCAAATGACTGCAATCTACAAGACATACAATGGGAAGGTAGTTTTGCTTTTGTTAACTTTCATTTATAATGCATATTTTAACTTTAAGGGCAATGTGAAGTGAGTACAGTCCATATTTGCTCTGCAAATTATAATAATAATCCTTGCATTTCATACAGCACCTTAACACCTCTCTGAGGTGTCTCAAAGTGCTCACAAAATATGATGTAAAGGGGATTGACTCATAGTTATATTGGCCAGAATGAGAAGCAAAAAAATCGAATTGACATTTCAAACATTTACAGCTGAAGTTATTCTGAAACTGTTCCGTAGTCTTTTCATTGCATGCTTACTACACAACTCTGAACTATGACAGCTCCACTTGAATATTCTTTTGTCTCAGTGGCTATGTGACTGCTAAGGTGGATTTGTGTCGTTCTGCGACAACTGCTGTGAAACTGACGAGACTTATTGCTGGCATTAGGTTCCTAGAACAACCAGTGTGAATGGCCCATTCCAGCCAACATGTCATTAACTTTGTTGAAGGTCTGCCTATTTATTGATGCCAGCGATGGATCGATTCCAATGGAACAACTAGGAAGTGTTTCAGGAGCGATTGGAGGGCAAAAAGAACAAGAGGATGACTATGGAAATCATCGACTGCCTACGGAGCAGCATTCCTGAATCTTAACAGAATGTCTCGCTGTGTCGAAAGGCATGCACGATACGAACCCACCTCTATCGTGGTCGACTCCAAAATAATTACTTCAGTACAGAACTGTATTGCAGTGCTTTTAGTTTCTCATTTTCTCTTAGAAGTTGCAATGTTATCTAGTTAGACAGGCTATTAGCTTCGGGATTACAATGCTATGCTCTCGTTTAGAGGGCCTGGATTTGCTTGGACCCAAAATTGAGTAAACTGTGTGGTTGTGGTTGAGTTTTGCAGTTTCATAGTCTGGCTGATAGATTGGGTGCCCCGGGATACCACAGCAATCTATCTTGATGAGGTGGGGAAAAAAGCTCAGAGACTATTCTACTAAAGTAAATAAGAGGATTTTTTNAAAAAAATGCCTCGGTTTTGTTTTCTTTCTTCAAAAGCAAAACCAAAGTTTTCTGATTGCTTTGCCTTTTATCTGTTTTAAATCCTTCATTACGTAACTAGTATTTACGGATAAAATACAATATCTGTTTGAGTGAGGCTTAGTGAGCACTTTCAAATCATCGTCTCAATATTCTTACAAATAAATTTGGTGTGACATCCATAAGATCTACAGTGACACAGTAGTAAAGATGTATCGATTCCACAATCCTCTATAGATCTCACCAAATGACTGACATAATGCCAGAGTGGCTAACGGATCTATGGTCCATGCAATTATGAACAGATATTCACAATGCCCTTGACATGAGATATGCTTTTACAGGTTCGGTATTCCCTTCCCACATCACCCCACACCCCTGTGGTTTATCTACCTTGTTGATAGTATATTATTTAGTGGGACTTTATCTTCCATGTTTAAAAAAAAACCTTCCACTCATCTAACGTTAAAGCTACGAGGACACTCGGATAGATGTGTAGGTTATACAGCTCCTTTTCATCCAATTCAATATTAAATTAGTTGTGAAAAATCAATGAAACGCACTGTGGTATCATGACAGTGGCATATCTATTACTTTGCTTGAATAAGTAATCCTCTCTCTAAATTACTCAGGAATACTTGTGCTCTTATCACTAATATTATCATAGATCATGCACCTTATGTACAGCGCAGGATTTATTTTTGATGTATGTATATTTAGATAATGTATTCTAAATTCCAAGCTGTATTTCTCTTGGAAGTCATTGAAAACAAAGATGGTGACATTGTAAAATTCCATTAGGTTTTATTAGTAACATCAATATATTTATTAATTTTTTTAAAAAAAAATCCAAAGTTTATAAGATTTGCCATCATTTTACCAGATCATTGAGCTGGTTGGGTCAGTCAGAAATGTCCGCAGTTTAACGTGGAAAGGCTTAATCCCTTAATTATTCATTGCGCTAGAATGGTTTGTTCACTTGAGTGAACACCGATAAGTGAGAAAGCTCCTCTGCTCTCTTTCATCTGTCCATTTTTTTTTTCCTCTTCTCAATTTTCAGCAGCTTCCCATTTCAGCTTCTGCCGTAATGTCCTGGACCATGCTCTATCTGCAGAGGAGCTCAGCTGCAGGTTGCAGGGAGATGCTGATAATCTTGGCTGGAATGGTGGCAAAGGTCAACGGATGGCTGGAGGCAGGAGTGTCAAGCTTTTGCAACAACCGGGAACAGAGGGCTTCCAGGTAAAATCAAAATACCTACATTGCTCATTCTCATACTGAGTAGATTTTCCTAAGACTCTGTAAAATGTTCTATACATGAGCTAACCGAACAAATCTGCTCAAATGGCAACTTGATCCAAGAATTTTGTTTGATTAAACCAGTTCATAGGTGAGAAAGTATTTCTTTTCAAGCCTTAAGGGCTGGTCATGTCTTCTTTTTGTGTCTGTTTGTGTCTGTGTCTTGCTTGCTGGCAGATGTAATCCAATCGCTTCTATTGGAGTTGCTGCTAACTGCAGTTTTACAAATGTATCAAAACTAGAGACTTGATTGGAGGGTGTGAAACATGAGGTAGACTGTGTGTCTTGTTGTTGTTTCGCCTTCCCTTCAAAAAAAAAACTTTCTTTGAAAGATGCATGTGAGAAGGAATCATCCATTTCAGCCAGGCTATCACTTGTGATGCACGAGAGAGCTCGCGCAGTGAAAGAGAGAATGTATAATATAACAGCTTTTCTTTTTTTAAAAAAAAACACAAGAACATTCTTTTGGCATTTGAAGCTTCTTGTGGGAGTAGAACTGATTCTAGGTTCTTGGCCTTGAGAAAATACGGAGCCTGAGGGCATGAAACAGTTGTATCAACCCCACCAATTGTGTCACTTCAAACCATAGGGCTATTAACTCCTACAAACTGGTTCACCCAGTGATGCTATCAACACTCAACCTTTATATTAAAAAAAATTGCATTGCTTGGTGTAAAATGGATGTTCAAGATGATCCTATTTTTTGTTGCTGATTTTTTTTTAAAAAAGGAACGCCAATGGTGATTCACTCTGTAAATGTTGTAACAAAATCTTGAGGTTTAGATGATGTGTGCTTTCTGTTCAGGTTTGCTTTGTGATATTTGTGAAATCCCCATGTTTGTATTATAGACTCATTTTCTCTCTCTCTCTCTGTCGCTCTTTCTCCACTACTAATTCTATAGATTTAGAGCAGCTCCACTGTCAGTCATGTAAGGAAACCCCTAGGCAATAGGAATAGAATTTTGTACCAGGGAAATTCACATCTCTTAAAGATCTCTGTCCTTTTTCTTTCCTCCAGTGAGGTCCTTGACAAAGCTTTTCTTCTCATCATTCCACGTAAAACTGAGAGAATAACTTTAAATTCTCTGTCCTCCTCGATAATGTCCTCCATCCTTTTGTTTCAGCAAGACTTTGCTGACCGATGATTGGAATTTTCTTCTGTTTATTTGATCTAAGTTGCTTATTTCTTTTCCAGAAGGACAGACACACTGAATCTAATTAAATTTAGGTGGTTGAGCTAATGGGCTAAATTTCCATTCTGTGCAGAACTCTCTCTGTAGCTTTACCTATTTGGATGCACATTAAGGATCCCATGCCAGTATTCAAAACTAGAAGGAAATTTCTCTGAATGTCTTCGCCTAGGTCCCTCTGGATAAATTGGTCATTCACTGCTTGGCTGTTTGTGGGACCTTGCTGTGTACAAAAACAATTCTGCCATATTTGCCTACAAATAGACAGTCACTACACTTGACACTAACTACTGCTTAAACAGTTTGAGATGTTATGGGTGCTGTATCAAATTCAAGGCTTATTAATACATCAAAGTGCCAAATTGAGGTTAGCTTTAGCAACATTAATTGAAATTTGCCAACGAAATATAATCATTACACTTTACATTAAATCCTGTCAAGCAATTCAAGGCATCCTCCGTAAGGATTGCAATATTAGAATTTTCAATTTATTAGCACAGGGAGAATTTTGTTGTTTTACCTCCTTGAAAGATTTACCAGTGGCTATTTATCTCTATCGGAAGATTGAATGAATTGGGGGAAATCATGACCGTATAATAGAAAAGAACAAGCTCAATGAGTTTCTCATTCCATGTTTTCTGATGTTGTTCTGATGATGAATATACAATGAACTTTTGTCCTTTAGTGTAGACTTTTTCACATTATAATCGTGGACTTCATGGACTTTGTTTTCCTCAACAACTGGAGACAATTGGGCTTTTCATTTATAGGAACTGGACACATTTTTAAAAAGTGTCTTTGTCTGGCCTGAACTGTTCTTTTTATTGAATGCCAGATGTCCAAAATGGCATTTTAATTAATTCATTCAGGATTTTTTGAGGACATTGAACTTCTTTAAAAAAATGATGTCAAAGACTTCATTCCTTTTCATGTCTTGAACAGCAATATTCATGCTGTTACTGTGGTGCAGATGCCATGTATTTTAGGAAACCTGGGTATTGGCACTTGGAAAACTCTACTAAACATCTATTAATCTACTAAATTCTCAAAAATATCTAAAATGGCTTATTTTGGGTTGAGAACATATGACGTGTGGACTGGTGACATCTGCAAAATTTTAAATCTGATTATTAACTATTAAACTACTTCTTCTGGATTTTACTCAATGTTCTTTTTAACCTTGGTAGTCCCCTACACTGTGTGTCTTGGCCCTTCACTTGGGTTCTCAATGTTTCTATATAAAGGACTTCAACCACTTAACATGCAACTTTAAATGAGATAAAACCAGGCATTTTTGTTCCCTAAATTATCCGCACTGTGGCTACTGGCCCTTAAGCAATATCTGAAGCTATTAAGCTTTGCTTAATTAGAAATTATGAACTCCACCAGATTGCTTTACTTTTCTCAATCCTTCACTCAGCTTTCTGAGGCTGACAATCAGTGATACATCGCAGTGAAACATTAATTATCCTTCTAACTGTGAAACAGAAGTCCCACACAAAGCTAATAATTGCTCACCATGAGGATTGTGTGGTCCATTGCTTTAATTATTATCTCATTTGCAAAGTCTTGGAACTTCACAAATAATATGATGCAATGGGTGAATGATTCAAAGCATATGTATCATTATTTATAATTGTGTACTTATACATATTTCAGTTACAAAATGAAGCCCACATACATCCTAAAATTCAATTGAGAAGAATGGAATTGATTACCAAAAAGATTGAAGAGTCCAGACAGTAAGCAATACTACAGATATACATTTGTGTTCAAACATAGGTTATCACTGATTCAAAACTCATTGAAAGTTGATGCCTTCAGGGAAATGTGCTTTGTCTACTCTCTCAAAACCAATGTGCTCTTTAGTGATGATGTTATCCTGCACAAAATGGTTTCAATCTTTACCTAAGACAGAAAGGACAACTTAATGATTGGCAACAGAATAACACAGCGGGCAGACAAATGATGTGTTATCTGGAAAGTTGGAAATAGTCAGTCAATATTGGTCAAAAAAGATTGATTGTGGTGTTGCCCATCCACCTCCATGCTACAAAGCTTTCTTCGGATATAGTTCTCTTCGACATAATAACCTCTGAACTAGATTGGGGCAAACAAGTGAGAAAAATAACTGGAAGAGCTGACAGGACAGTGAAAATCTTTTAAGAAGTTCCAGCCTTACTTAAAGTTATTGCAATTTGACTGCTCTACCAAGTTATTTATGTGCTCATTGCTGGAATGAATCACAATGATCCTTGTATTGATGGAGCACCTTTCACGTCGAGAGGACATCTCAAAGCGATTCACAGGACTTACTATGAATCGTAGAGGCAGAATTGTGCAGTTTGTAGAACCTGGCAGCCAATTTGTGCGCAGGATTGTCCCGCAGCCATGAAGTAAATTACCAATTTACTGTTGGCCGGGACATCAGGAGAAGCTCCCCTTTCTTCATGTATAGTTCAGTGGGATCTTTAATGTCCACAGGAACAGCTAGACAGGACCTTGGGTTTAACATCTCATCCAAAGAACAGCACCTTAATATTAATAATAATCCTTGCATTTGATATAGCACTTTTCACGTCGGGAGGACGTCCCAAAGCGCTTCACAGAACACACTGTAAAGTGAATTGACTGTATATTTGTGGGCGAACGCGGCAGCCATTTGCGCACAGCAATGTCCCACAAACAGTCGTAGATTGAATATGACCAATTTATTATTGTTTTTTGTTTTGGAGGGATTATTATTAGGCTCTGTGTGGAGTAAGGAAACTTGCCCAAGGTTTCGCCCTCTGCATGGAATTGAACCCAGGTCTCTCACTTGCAAAGCGAGTGCTCTAACCACTGAGCTACAGGACTCCACAATGGTCCATATTAATGGTCAGTCAGCAGCAGCAGCTTTGAAAATCCATTTATTCTGAAGTCAGTGATGAGGAAAAGCTTGGCATTTGAGTCACTCTAATGGGTCTCCCAGTAGCTGCCCCAGAGCAGCATTGGCAAAAGGCTGGGAGCAAATTGCCTGCCTTCCTGCCTTCATAGCCTGGAGTTTGCTAACTCACACAGAGAATCATAGGAAAGGAGGAAAGACAAATTTTAGAGGTGGGGAGAAACATTTGGCTGCCATAATTCTGTCAATTATAACCTTAAACATAAATATTAAATTGTCACAATCCTACCACTTGCCTGCAATATTTTTTTTGGCAAACCCGTACAGTGTTTACTGTGTTTGATCTGAAACCAGTCTTATAGGCATCTACTTTAGTGTGGATTTTTGTTTGATCTGGAATACTTGGTCTCGATCAGAACTGCTGTACGAGAATGGGAGATGTAGCTTGCGATTGAATATTGAAATGTTTTTTTCCCCAGAGGCAGAGCCTCTAGGCTCTGGAACTCCATCCCCTTCAAGCCTTCGCCTTGCTTCCTCCTTTTCTTCCTTCAAGGCCGGTCTCAAGATCTTTCTCTTCAACCGTGCCTTCAGCTCCCCTCTTGACTCTCTACCCCCTCCTCGCTCCCTTCCTTCCCTCCTCTCACCCTGACCATTTCCCCCCTGCTCGGGTCCCGACCCAACTGTACAGTGCCTTGGGACGTCCTCCCGACGTGAAAGGCGCTCTATAAATGAAATATTGTTGTTGTTGAGATAACACTCTGGCATTCTAGTATCTCCAGTTTAATTGATTCCTCTCCTGTCTCTCTCACCTCCCTTGTCGTTCCTATTTCTCCAGGGTCCTTCTTGCCATCTCTCTGTCTCTGTAAATT